ATGGGAATCGGGCAGAGATGGCGCCCGACTACGCAAACAGACACTACAGTTTAGCAAATTTAGTTGGTGGGACCTGATAGCCGGTTTCGGTCGTTTTCATGTTGGTGGTGGTGGTAGTGGTGCTGGTGCTGGTGGTAGACTACACTTTCGTRTGAACCGGAATATCCTCTATCAGGAGATTTTCGGATTTGGCGGCGCTTTTACCGACTCGACGGGTGTTAATCTGCAAAAAATTGGCACAAAATTGACGGATCAGATAATGAGAGATTATTTCAGTTCCGATGGTCTCGAGTATAATGTCGGCCGTATTCCTATCGGTGGATCCGATTTCAGTACCCGTGGCTACAGTTTGGATGACAACCCGGGAGACAAATCATTGGCTCATTTTAATCTAACCCACGAGGACTTGGACTATAAGGTTAGTATTGATGATAATAACAATAATAGTTAGTTTAGTAAATTTAGTTATTTTAATTTTAATTATTATTATTAGATACCATACATTCAATTGCTATTGAATTGCTAATTATTAAACTTAAAACAATTAATATGTAATTTTTCGAAAAGCAAAATATACTTGAATAAACTGTATTATAACAAATAAAAATCATTAAATTTGATTTTTTTTTAGTTTTTAATTATTTTATTTAAACTAATAAACAAAAAACAATAAGTTTTTTAACAATAACAACATTCAAAAAAATGTTTATCAATAAATTGATTATAAGTTTTTGTATTATAACATATCTAATGTCTAGTATTGACGCCGACTTTGACGCCAACTGTAATGGCCAGTCATGTTCAGGACCGGGTGTTTGTTGTCCAGGCTTTATATGCAACGCATGTCTATGTGGATCTGGTACGTGCGTACCGGCTAACACGTGCGGCCGTAAAGGTAGTACGTGTTTGAATGGCTGTTGTCCTAATTCTCGATGCGATTCAATGACAAACACGTGTCAGTATAGACGTTGTCCGGCAGCCGATTGTATTATAAATATTTAGATTTTGGTTTCAATTACTACTAAAAAAATGTATTTAAAATAAACATTTTTAAGTTATTTTTGTTTGTGTGTGTTTGTTCATATAATTTATATATTTTACTAATTTTATTATTAATAATTCATTTAGCTTACTTGTTATTATATATATATATATATATATATATTGAAAATATTAAAAAAAAATATATTTCAATATTGACATTTTGTTATCTATAATATATAAACATTATTAAAATTGAAATCAAATAAATAACTATTAAATGGTTTTATTCGGTGTTAATTTATTATATCTATATTGCAACAATAGTTATCTAATAAATAATTATATTTTTAATAGTTCATTACTATTACAAAGATTATAATGCACATATATATACCAAATATACCAAACATCTAGACATGGATTAAAATGTAAAAAGTTTGTAAACAGATTGAAAAAATTTGATAAATTTTTTTTTGATTTTAATATTAAACTATTTAATGATTTACCAAAAGATATTAGAGAAGAGCATAATTATAATAAGTTTACGAATCTAATTGATTGTTATTTTAATTAATTTTAAATTATTGTATTTTATTTTATATATTATTTATTTTATGAACTTTTAATGTATTTCATGACAAGTATTTGAAATAAAATTATTATTATATTTTTGTTATATATAAAATTTTAATCGTAAATCAATTGTTATACTTAACATATAAGTCTACTAATAAATTATATTAAATTAATATTAATAGTAAATTTGTTTTCTATATATATATATATATATATATATATTTAGTATAAAACTCATTATAGAACTATTAGTACTGAATAGTTAATTTCTTAATCTCAATAGTTAACACAATTGAAACTTAATTTTTTTTGTTAAAAAATAAACTTAATAAAATACAACAAAAAAGTTAATAAATAAAAAAACAAACAAATTAACAATATATTAGTTAAACTGTTTTGTGTCCTGTTTTGCATATTGTCTATACATTTTATAAGTCAATCAGCAGCTGCTGACGTAACAACAACACAATGTTCATCAACTATCGGTGCTCCGTGTGGTCCAAATCTACCTCAATGTTGTCCAGGATATGGATGTTCAAACACGTGTCCTCGGGGATCGGGTACATGCAAACAGTGGGCTACCTGTACCTATGGTGATGGTCCATGTAAAACATCTGAACAATGTTGTCCAGGATATAAGTGTGAACAGGAGACATTAACTTGTCAATATGACCAAGTTATTTGTTAATAATAATAATAATTACCAAGATAATATTTTTTAATTAATAATTTTTCGATAGAAATATTATTGTATATTTATGATTTTTTTTAAATAATTAATAAAAAAATTAAAAATATGTAATTTTAGTAATTTTTTATATCATTTATCATTTTTTTAACTTGTTTATTATTTTATTAATAAAGGTTCTATGATATTAATCAATATTCAATTTTAAGTAATTAGTAGTTTTAATTTATTTTGTTAAAATTATTATTATTATTATTATTAATAGTTTATTTAAGTATTATTAGTTGCACAATGAAAACATTTAGCAACAATAATAACAATACTGTAAATCAATTGAAAAATTATTTTTATTACTGTGCAATATTTAATATAATTATAAATCAAAAATTATTAATTGGAAAAATGAAAACTATTTTAATAATTGAAATTTACATAAATATTGGAAAAAATCTATTGTTTTATTATAATATAAAAACATTTTTTATAAACATTAATATTATACTAGTCATAAAAAAATTGTTATTTCATAATATACATATTTTTCTCTAATAGCCTTGATAATTAATAACTACATATTGAAAAAATAAGTATATAATAAACTTGCACATTTTTCTAATCATACATTATTAGAGAAAAAAATTCTTGTAAAAATTAATATTTTTATTTAATATTTATATTTTTGTTTATAATTTTATAAAAGTTGTAAAAATTAGATTAGTTAAATATACTAAAAAGTTTTTTTTAAACATATTTTTAAAAAATTAATAATGTCATCAATGTTATTTTCTAGTATTTATATATGCATGTTGATAATGCTGTTGATGATGACCTACCAGTCACTGGGCTATCGTACATTTGATTGCGATGAACCCGATGGCCACTATGCCTACTATTATGATTGTTCAAAGTTTGTAATATGCTCACACGGCACCGGGCATTTATTAGACTAGAATACTATGGAATGACCGGATTAAAACATGCGACCATTACAACAATGTTGATTGTTATCATTAATTTTAGTAAATAATTGTAACTAAATTATTTATATTATTAAATGATATACTAGTAAATGTATTTTTCTATATTATATTAATATATTATTTTTTAAATATATAAAAATACTAATAAAAGTTAATATAAATTAGATAATAAAGAAAATAATTAAATAAAAAATGATATGAATGAAATTTAATTTATTTTTGCATTTAATATAATTTAAAACTAATTATTATTATATTGGATAGACTTTTGTTGTTAATTTTTGAAATATAATTGCATATTTATATTTATATAAGTTATTTATTTATTTAATTAATGTATTATTAATTTATGATAAATTAGTAAAAAAATTAAATCAAAATAGTCTAGACTTTAGACTAATTAATAGTAAAATAGATATATTGTATATTTAATAATAATTACTATAAATTTGTAATTATACTTAATAAAGATATTTTATATAAAAAAATATTTTAATGTCAGCATAATTATAAATGTTTTGACTTTATAATTATACAAAAAAATAATGATAATTTATATAATATAACATTATAATGTGAGTAATTAAAAAAATAAATTTTATTTAAATTATATATATATATTGTTGAAAACAAATCCTGTTGTAAGTCTATACATTTTTGTTGAATATATGCTTAAATTGGATTAATATATTTTTTATGTATAATATTAAATCTTGATTAATATGATTATTTAATTAGTACTAATTAGTTATTTATTAAAATTAAATGTTTAAATCTAAAGTATTAATATAATACAGTACTTACAGTAGTTATACTATTTATATATATTATGTACAAACTGTAACAAAATTATATTATCATATAATATGGTTTTTTTGTAAATTATTTTTATAATGTTTAGAAAGTTTTTCAGATATCTATTTTTTGTCAAATTGTTTATACTATTGTTTATTATTATTATATTTATTTAAATTACAATATTTTATTATTAATAGATAAAGTTATAAATATATAAATTATTTAATTTAAAAAACAATAAATTTTAATGCCATTAACTACTTTCATAGGAATAGAAAATTATTTGATTTAATAGTTTAGATTTTAAATATTATTATATTTATAGTAATTAAATAACTATTAAAATATATTTTTTTTTTAAATTAAATTTTGATTTTGCATTTAATTTGAGTTATTTTTATTAGTTCAGTCAAAAAATAGTCAAAAATAAACTTTTTGTTATTGTATTCAATTACAATTGCCAGATTCCTATTAAATCTTAAAAATAAAATAAATGTCTAATAATTATAACTTATATTAGTTTAGTTAATTATTAATACCACTAGTAATGTCTAATTATATAATATAATTATATAAAAAAGTATTTTGTTATTGATTTTATTTTTATAATACTATAACTTAATATTAATTACAGACTGTAATTTACAGTAGATTATAATGAAGACAACTTTTACTATTTAAAAACTGTAATATAATTCAAATATATTTATAATATAGTTTTATAAAAGTATATGAATTTTATTTTTTAGTTTTTAATAATACGTCAATAATTTTGTTAATATATTTAGTTTTTCTCAAGTTAAAATTAAATAAATAAAACTAATATAATAAAATTATTAGTTACTATGAAAAAATGCTATTATTTAGTAAATAATTAAAAATAATATTTTTTTAAATAAATTGCAATTTTGCATTTAATTTATTTTTGTTAGTTATAAAATTAAAAATAAACTTTTTTGTTATTGTATATTAAATTACAATTTTTCAATTCCTATTAAATCCTTAAACACTTGAAAGGCAGCCTCGGGTTTATCTTTGGGAACCATATGTCCGGCACCTCTGACCAAAACAAACTGCAATCCCTTTTCGTAGCGTTCAATGTAACCACCGATCACACCGTCTGGCTTACCATCGGCTGTCAAGTGACTGTACGGTAGAAAACATGAAAATTTGTTATACATATGTGTGACAAATAACTACTTATATGATGACAACCTTACCTATACAGGCCTTGACTCTGATAGCCGAGTGCTTCAACAAATCGTTGATCATCAATAAAATCGCAGATCAAATCAAAATTGCCGTTATATACTGTTACCCGTTTGAGGCCATACTTCTCGATCAGGTCGCGTATGTTATCGTGTTGTGGTGTTAGCCCCTGCAGTATATTATACTAACCGCAACAGGCCGTCCACCGTGATTTGTCAGGTCTGTGCGCGTGTATGGCCTGCTGTACGGCCGGTGTATTCAGATAATCGGTATAACCATTTTTAGGACAATTAAGTTTGTTAGCAACAATGTGTTGTTGTTGATGAGCTTGCATTGTGACTATGCCCAGTGCCTCGAAACGGGAACGATAGTACCGGTCAAACATTGCGGACAGGTAGTCATCGTCAAGTCCGCCACAATCATCGTATATGTTATAGGCATTTGGTACACTACCCAGTTCTAACTGTGCTTGGTTACATTTACTAATAATGTAAGTTTTAACAAAAATAATTTTTTTAAAAACTTTTTCGCAAAAAAATKTAACTATAGTTTCAATAGATATTATTATATTGTATTTGTTTTTATAGGTAACTTATAATATAATATCAATAACTATTGAGTTTAAATAGTGTTAATAATAATAACAACAACACATACGTGGCGTTTACTGGCTTAGAGAAGTCACACTCGCGTACGGTATGGCCGTCAGCAGCGCACTGACAACAGGCCTCTATCTTGCGTTCGTACGATTCGATAGACAACTGTCCGCTACCGACAAGCATGTCATACATCGATTGATTTCCCAAAAAAATCCCAACCCGATAGTCTACCGTTACAAATGCTAACACCTATTTTTTATATATAAATAATTAATTATGTATTTATTTACACACACACACACACATACATACATACATACAAACACCCAGACATTAACTACCTGAGTCATACCTTTTAAATTAATATCAGTTTTAGTCTGAAATATCTCTTTGGCCAACATTGGTACGTAAACCCCGCCATAACTTTATATAAAACGGATTTTTTTGAAGGTTTGGATATTTTTTGAAAAACTCAACTAAAGCCAGTCTATTATCAGTGGCAACTGTGGTGTCGTTATTCAAATATTTTTTATCATCCTTATAGCTAAAGCCCGCATCTACCGGTGCCTCAATGTACAGCATATTGGCCACACTATTCCAACTGTAAGGGTTCAGATGCAATGACTTGCCGTCGGCATCGACATGAAACGGTCCGTTTTCGGCCAACAGTCCGAACAGTGCACTACTACACGGTCCTCCCTGAAGCCATAGGACTACCGGTGCAGTCGCCGGGTTGGTCTGGCTCTCGACAAACCAGTAAAATAAGTGTTTACCATCCGGTATATTCAAATAACCCGAGTATTGTTTGAAATTGATTTTGTATTTAAGCCCCGGGAGGGCTATTATCTCGTCCTCATTGTTGTTGTTTTTGTTATTGACGGCAACTAAATATGTAACACAATTAACTAATAAAAATAGATTAGAAATTAAATTTAGTGTATTCATTATTATAAAACAATTCAATTTATAAATATAATAAAATTATTAATAGAAATCAATTATTTTAAACATAATTAATAATATATTATTTTTAGTGATAACATTATCGTTATAATTGAGATAACACTTAAAACTAATGGTTTAATTAGGTTTCATATCCAACTGTTTTTATTTTTATTGTATAGTTTATCACTTTGTAGTTAAAATTATTTACTTTATTTATATATACCAATATTATTATTATACTAAGATTATTTTATTTATAAACTAAATGTCATTAAAATGTTTTATTATAGTATAAGTTAAATTAAGTTAAGTTTTTATTATGATTATTATTTATTTGAATGAATTTTTTTCTTTAAATTTTTGTTGATAAATAATTTTACAATTTTACGACTCCTATTAAATCTTTAAGCACTTGTAGTGCAGCTTCGGGTTTATCTTTGGGAACCATATGTCCGGCACCTCTGACCAAAATAAATTGCAAACCCTTTTCATAGCGTTCCACATAACCGCCAATAATACCGTCCGGTTTTCCGTCAACTGTCCACTATCTACATCAACAATATATTAAATATAATACACAAATTAGTTGCAAAAAACTACATGTTTTATTAGTCTATCGGGTAACAGACATACTTATAGTTGCCATTTCGTTGAAAGCCTAGTTTGTCAACAAATCGCTGGTCATCAATAAAATCGCAGACCATATCAAAATCGCCGTTATATACTGTCATCCGTTGTAGGTCATACTTATTGATCAACTGGCGTATGTTATCGACCACACGATTCCAACTGTTAGGGTTAAGTTTAAGTGTCTTTCCCGTGGCATCGACACGAAATCGTCCGTTTTCGGCAAATAGTGCAAACAGTGAACTACCACCCGGTCCTCCCTGAAGCCATAAGACTACTGGTGCATCCACTGGGTTGGTCTCGCACTCGACAAACCAATAAAGTGATTGACAAACAGATAACCAATGAAATGATAGAAATTAAGGACAATCTCAGTGCCAATACAAGAGTTGACCAAATTATAGCAAATGAAGAACAAAGTGATGACATTGAGTGTTGTTTTGTAAATAATTGTAACCAAAAAGTATCGACTTTTCACTTATTTGACAACAAATTCTGTTCTTCGAGATGTGCTGTCTATCAGTGGACACTTGACTTTCACAAGACTTACGGTCAAACAAATATAGGTAAAGACATAATCTTATAACTAATATATTAAAACATATCAATAATTTAATAATAATAATATTGATAGTTAATATCAAAAACAGTGCATCAATTATTAGGTTTCATAAATCCACAAAAATATTTTTTAATTACGTTATCGTATATGAAATTATTTTATTCATTTTAATGTATTTTATGATAATTTAATTTTTACACTTTTAAAATGAAATTTTGAAACTATAGTTGCCTTATATGGCGTGCAATTTCATAAATAATTACCGGTTATATCTTTTTATGGTATAAATTAATTACCTATAATATCAATGGCTAAATAATATCAATGAAACTTTAAAAAATTTGGATTAAATAATTTAATAAATAAGATAGATAAATTTAATAATCAAAATTATCCATTCAATTATTATATAATGTTTTCAGAATATAAAAATTTCTATAATTAAAAAGTAAAATAAATATGATTTTTAAGTCGATATTTACCGGAATTAGTATTTATTATTACAAATGTTTAATAAATTTTATTTATACAATAATTTATTTACAATGACTGTACGGTCCCTACACTTTCACAACAATTTGAATGTATTGTCAACACATTTGTCTATTTATACAAAACAATTGTCGCAAACATTTCGTTAGTAATAATAATAATAATGATATGATTTAGTTAATTGAATCCTTAATTTAATGTTAAGTTTGATTAATGATTGCATGCATTGCATGACTTAACCATTGGTTTCATTGATTTGCTTTAAATTTATGTTAATTATACAGTAGTTATATATATTATAGTTATATTACACACAATGAATGATACTAAAGGTTTGTCACCGCAACTGATCCAATGATTTTGTGATAAATGTTTTGACTATTTGTTGATAAGACTTTGTAATTGTTTTTTAAATATTAATATTAATAATGTTATATACAGTTAGCGCCCGAAATAAAGTATTACAGATGTGGAGCTCAGGCTTTATTGAACACGACGTGACCACCAATCAGGACATACAACAAGTGATGACCACCAACACTGATCTCTGTGATGACCAATCATTGAATACATACATTTTGTCGGAAACTAATGATATGATTGTGACAGACAAAGAGGTTACAAATGAAACACAACTGTCTGACCAAAAGACCACAGACATCAACATTACTAATGATAATCCAAGTAATGATAATCAAATAGTTACAGAAGTAACAACTAATGTCATTGAAAGCAATCAGCAAATAAAGACAATAAGTGAGAAACATGAGACCAAAGAGCGAAAAATTAAGAGACATAAACCCAATAAAGTGGTAATCGTTAAGAAGTTAAACCAACAAAAGTCTTCTCATCCATTCAAAAAAGGCGTTGCTTTAATACAGGACAAAACGTGTAATCAATTTGTTCACGACTTTCCCGATCAACAGATCACGTGTTGTATTGATTGTATCGACAAAAAAAGTGTAACACAGACGTGTCGTTTCTATCAATACAGAACTTTTATCAAAGAGAACGGACAGATGAAAGTATATGGTTTTACTCAAGAGTCAAATGCATCAATTGGTGACCACAAAGTATGGCTTCCAGAAGAAAATGTCAAGAAAATAATTATCGATAAAAATCACGCCAAATATCTATTGGGTTTTGTAAGTCAACAGTTTTGTCGGATTTATAACGACGAAAAAAATCTGAGACAAGACTTTGAAGACCAAGCGATTACTTGGAAGAAACCCATCAAAGGTATTAGAGAGTTGTGTGATATCTGTGAGACAACTATTTTCAACACACACTATCTCTGTCCCAACTGTGGTCTCGCTGTTTGTGTTGATTGCTATGTTTACCGAAGTCAGCAGTCGATAACAAATGAGAAGAAGTCACGACTAAATCACGACGAGTTTGGATGGCTTTTATGTCATAAGGATAAACATAAGGAAAAGCATGACATCAAAGATCTTCATTTGGCGTTATTCATCACTAAAGCTGTATTTGATTCCATCGCTAACTTATTGCATGAAATACGTAACGAACATAAGATAAAAGGCATTTGTGATTGTAGACAAATCGATGACAATCTTAATATAGATATTAAACATATCTATAGTGATGTCAATCTCAAGAGTCAATATTCAAATGTACCGCAACAATGGTTTTTTGATGAGAAATTATTAGTTTTAACAGATCCCAAATGTAAACAAAATATTGATTTATTTCAAGTTTTTTGGCTTAAGGGTTATGTAAGTATTATTACTATCGATAATTATTTTTATAATATTACAGCTAATTATTTTAAATGTTATTTTTTGATAGCCTGTTATGATTCAAGGCGTCCATACATTACTGAAACAAGATTTATGGACACCCGAATCATTTAAGAAAAATTATGGTAAACAACAGAGTCGTTTAGTTGATTGCCTAAACGGTCACATAATGCCTAAGACATCGATTAGTGTTTTTTGGAACGGTTTTGAAGATGTGACCGAACGATTGATCGATCAAAATACTGGTCAAGAAATGATACTTAAGCTGAAAGACTGGCCGCCGGACGCAGAGTTTCGCGTTAAGCTTCCCATTTGGTACGATAACCTCATGGAAGCTCTGCCAATAAATGAATACACCCGATATAATGGCCCCCGAAATTTGGCGTCACGTTTGCCCAATTTCTTTGTTCGACCCGATTTAGGACCAAAGATGTACTGTGCGTATGGATCGGTAATGCATACCGACAAGGGATCAACAAACTTACACTTAGACATGAGTGATGCCGTCAATGTTATGGTTTATGTTGGCATTGCTTATAAAAATGGTGTACTTCTTGGAAGTCATATTAATGCACAAAATGATGCGTTAGTTAAAGGCGGGTGCGATCAACAAATGATGGATAGAATGTTGACAAATGATCTCAAAGTGGGTGCCATTTGGCATATATGGCGTGCAGAAGATGCCAACAAAATCAGAGAATTCATTAGAAAAGTTGCAAAAGAGAGGAATATGAAGAGTAATGAAATAACTACGGATCCAATTCATGATCAAAGTTGGTATTTGGATGAAACACTTCGCACAAGACTTGAACAAGAATATGGAGTCAGAGGTATGGCTATTGCCCAGTGTTTAGGGGATTGTATATTAGTGCCGGCGGGAGCACCACATCAGGTCCAAAACATACACTCGTGTATCAAAGTCGCCGGTGAGTTCGTGTCCCCCGAAAATGTTGGACATTGTGTGTCACTAACGCAAGAATTTCGTAAGCTATCGAAACGCCACAACAACCACGAAGACAAACTGCAGATTAAAAATATTATATATCACACAATCAAAGATTGTCTAACGGTTTTACAAAATTAATTTATAATTTTATGAAACAAACATTTGTTGAATTTTTATTATCACTCAATATATCTGAACAATGTTTTCAATCAGTAATACATGTGACACAAGCTATGAAATCAAGACAACTGTGGGCTTATAAATATAATACAAATATTAAATATAACAATTATTAATTATCATTAATACTTTCACTATTAAAAACAAATTTCAGTTCAAGTTCAGTATTATATTATACGATATATACAAATTAAATATTGTATTTTATTGGTATACAGTATATTAAACTAAATAAATTAATCCAGTATACTATTAGTTAAGATAGACACCCACAAAATGGTCACCTATTAAGTTTTGACAATTTTGTGGGACTCTATCGACTCCCGATCCCGTAAACTGGTTTTTGTTTAAAATATTTATTTATTTATAAATAAATTTTTGACATACATTTATAAGCCCACAGTTGTCTTGATTTCATAGCTTGTGTCACATGTATTATTGATTGAAAACATTGTTCAGATATATTGAGTGATAATAAAAATTCAACAAATGTTTGTTTCAAACGATTTTCAATTGGCTTAATATTATCAACAATTTTGTCATAAAATTAGTTAATTTCAAAAATTTTTGTCGGCCTTTAACTATAAGTTGTTTAATTAAAGTTTGGTTATCCTTAAAATCATTAGATATTTGATATTTGCTAAACAAATGACGAGTTTTGCGAAATATTTTTAACAAATTTTGTTCACTTTTTATTAGATTTTTATTAAAACTTAATTGACAATTGTCTGTGTCATCAATACTTTTATTACAATTACTATAATCATTATGAATATTATTAGTTTCATTACTATTGACAATATTAAATATAAAAATATTGATTAATATTAGTAAAATTACTAAATTAATATTTAATAAATACAACACTTAAGAAAAATAAAATAATTTCTCTAAATAATTAAAAAAAATAAAATAAAATAATAATCACAATAAAAAATTTATTAACTATATTAGTATTTATAAAATGTTTGTGTGTTTTAAAAATAGTTACTTAAACTTTTTAAAAACTTATTTCATCTGATTAAAACAACTAATGTTTTGCAAATAAAAATAAATAAATTTTTATCTTAATAGTTTTTAATTATTTTTTTTAATAATAAGTTACACAAGGATTTTGATAATAACTTTGATATACTGTATAGTTGCTAACTATGATATTATAAAGTTTATAAAAATAATTTTGAGACTACTGTAATTAATTTATTTGCATAATAAATTACACTAATATTTAGCTGATATCAAGGATTTTTTGTTAAAATAGTTATTAAATATTAAGTTTTATAGTATTATAATTATAGCGATACTTATAAATTAAAAAAAACTTATTTGCAATAATAATACAAGCTATTAGTACATATTGGATATAGTTTATCATATGTTTTATTTTATTAATTTCTATTTACTTTATATATATATATGTATATAATAATTAACTATAATTATCTAAAAATAATTATCATAATTTATTATTGCTAAATTTATATACAGTTTA